CATTTACATCAGCACTGGAATAGTAATGTTTCTCTTTTTTAATATGCAGGAAAAGACCGTGTTTTTTTTTTTTTTAACTATTTGGATGGAGCCTCTCCTCCACTATACTTAATCTTCAGCACAACAACTCATACATGTGTACTGTATGATTGAAGCCCCAATATTCTTTTATGTGCTCTGAAAAGAATAATAAAACAACATTGTTCCAAATGTTTGGACTCTTAGCTCATGGAATTCAGTGGAAACTTAATTTTATTTAACTGTTTCTCTATCTGCAGGAAGAGGTCGTTTTCAAAAGCCATCAAGTTCTTCCTGCTTAATCAGTGTGACGGTAAGACATAAATAATATTAGGTAGATCCTTCAGGAATGGTGTATGTTTCCCACACCTAATATAGTCAAAAGATTTCTCAAATGTATGGGGAGGCAAGGGGAGCAAATGAGATGCGCATGGTGATATCACACTTTTGACATGATTTATGTACTTACATCAACCTCATTATGCAATTATATAATTACAGCATTTGTACCTCATTTTGACATATCGCAGTTCATTGTGGACACTGTTGCATATGAGTTGGAAAGTACAAGCAATCTTTTATTCTTACATGAAGGAAGATACAAGGCTTATGCCTCAGAAGGATACAAATAAAGACAAAATATTTATACAGCTTAAAAATATCATATACAGTATTATAAAGGTAGCTTGTGACTGTTAATAATTGTTTAGAGCAAGTATTATTGCTTCCTTAACTACTTCCCTGTTTCTGTGCCCCAGATAATTACATTTCTTAATGTTTGGAAATTGCAAGCAAAGCCAAAGGGTCAGATCAGTTAATGAAGCTAGACATACAGGCCAAGTAGAGTATAGCTGCAGTGTTTATATGAAAGAAATGGCAAGGAGCCATAGTGGTATGATCTACTTTTTCCCTGGGACCTTATGTAAACTCCATAGTATCCTTATTGTATTACTTGCTTGCCTGTGCATTTGTATTCCCCTTGCTTATCCTCTAATAGCCTTACTTTGTAATGACCTTGATGCAAACATACCTCCTGTCCTAGACTTATGCTATTTATCTCATCCTTTAATTGTTATGAATGGATGTATAACTCCCCAAAAGAGAGGATGAGTTGATAGATGTCAAGAAAAAAATCTCCTCTGGAATGTTCTTGGCAGGCACCTCTAAGTGGTAAATCAGATTACTCTCCCTCACTTATAAAAATGTATTTAAGCCAAGAGAAGTCAGGGTGGGATGGGAACTCCATTGTAGAACTAACTGGGAGGTGTAGTGTTCCAGCTGGTATGAGAAGGGGTCTGTCTGCAGTCTTTTTCAGAGTTCCTGTCTGCAGAAAGGACATTTAGGTATACATTCTCTTGTAATTTATATCACCTCAGTCAACTTTTGAGCTTTTTGTTCTATGACTGTGTTTATTGTCTTGAATCCTAAATAATGTGGTCACTGGGTGCCAGAACAATAACCTTAACTAAATGTAATTCTGGTTCCACATTAATAACTAAAAGAGGTGACCTGTGTGCTATAAAGGCAGAATGTATAATTTTTTCTCCCAAAAGAGTTCCTCTGTTTTTAAAAGTTGGCCAACATGCAATTAGAACGGTTTCCCATCACTTTGTTTGCTAAGAGCTTCACTTATTAAACATGCAGGAGTCTTACTGAAAAAAACAAGTGTCCATCATGTGAGACTCTTCTTCTGTTGCAGCCAAAGAAAAAGTCTGAGAAGGTAGAAAAACAGCCAGAAGATTCCAAGAAAATCAAACAAGACAAGGGGAATACTGCAATTTCAGGGAAGGAAGGTGTTCAGTCTAAGGTAATAATAGGAAAAGTTTTGGGGTATCTGAATAATAAGATAGTGAGTTTTCAGTCCATGAAAGGATGTTGGGAATACTAAGTTCTATGCCTTGTCCTACAACAGTGTTTCTCAACCTTGGCAACTTTTAGATGTGTGGACTTCAGTATGCTGGCTGGAAAACTCTAGGAGTTCACACATCATAAAGTTGCCAAGGTCCCACAAGAATGTATCATTCTTAGCCTATGGTTTTTAAACCACAGAGGCTAAACTGAATTAAGATGAACTGCACTGTGTCTTAGAATCTTTCCAAATCCACTGGAAAGGAAACCTTTAGTTTTTAAATCTCAGTGCCCAATAACTACAGCCTGGGTCTGGGAAGAAGTCAAATTAGACATGTTGAGCCTGGGATCTTGGAGTCTGGGTAGATTGGATGAGAGACAGAAAACACTGATTTCCATACAGGAAACCAGAGCAGCTACTGGACCAACATTTTAAATGCTGGGGTTTCCAGGAACAGCTTTATATTAGTATGTTATAGTAATTTAGTTAGATTTCTGTTATCAAGTTATCACTAACTTTGGTGGGCTGTATCTGCCAAACCTGTTGAGGGTGGCCCAAGGCATCTATACTTCACTAACAAATCTGGATCATAGAATATGACCAAGCGATGTATCTGCTCTATTAGGGTTGCACACTGATTTCCTGAATGTAAAAAATGTTTACTGTCTAATGTTTCCATCTGTTGAAATCAACTTCACTTTATTAGTATCTACCTAGCCCAATATTGAATCTTAGCATTTTTTACCTGGTTCAGATAACAGAGAAATAGAGCTGAATGTCACCAATATTAGAACCTCCAAACCTCTCTAATGTATTTGCCTAGGAGTTTCATATAGATGTTAAAAGCACATAGGAGATAAAACAGAACCTACAGAATTCCACAAACACTTATCATAGGATTAAATAGCTACCACCCGAGCACTGCTCAATTCTTGAAATAGCTGAACTGTGACCTCTGTACTCAGCTTACAGAACTGCAGCGAAATGATACCATGGGTAATGGTAACAGAATTCCATCAGTTCATACTTCTCTGCTCCTTTCCTGACAGGTCATCTGTTAGAGGAATTGGCAATCTGTTTATTTGAATTATAGGTAGTCTTCACTTACCAACTGCAATTGGGACTAGCAGCTCTGTCACTAAATGGCACGGTCGTTAAGTGCGACATCATACGACCACGCCAACTTATGACGTCAGTTCCGGCAATGGTCATTAAGCAAATTACCGCAGGCTGTTAAGCAAGACATCACCTGACTGCAGCTTGCAACTTCCTGCTGGCTTCCCCACTGACTTTGCTTGTTGGAAGATGGTTGCGAAGGTTGCAAATGGCGATCACGTGACCACAGGATGCTGCAACTGTCATAAATGTGTCCCAGTTGCCAAGTGCCTGAATTGCAATCACATGATCACAGCGATGCTGTGATGGACACAACTTCGAGGACTGGTTATAAGTTCCTATTTTCAGTGCCGTTGTAAATTTGAATGGTCACTGAATGACTGGTCAGTAAGCAAGGACTACCTGTAATTCAAATTCAATTCATGTCATATTTCATATTCAGATATATGTGAAATTGATTAGCTTCCATCTTTTGAGCACCTTGAGCATATTAGTGACTGGTCAATAATGCAATCTCCAAAGAATATTTGTCAAAAATTGGTCATAATTCTTGAAGTTTTATGCATTGGTGACTTCAGCTTTAATTTATTCACTTGTATTTTAAAAAGAAGAGAGGGGATTCATTTCCTAGCAAAAAGAGTATTTTTTTTCTTGGGGAATAAAAATTTTGTTTTAAAACCTTTCTATATTCTAAATAAATGCTGCAGGTCAAACCAAAATATAGTCAGCCTGCTGAAGAGTCTCCCAGCCAGCCTGTCTCTGTTGCATCTCCTGGAGCTGCTGCTGCAGAAGAAGAAGTGCCATCTGGAATTACAGAAGTCCTTTCTCAAACCAAAATTGAAGATATTGTACCGGTATGAGCCATTTCTTCCTTTTACATGCTCTTTTGATGAGGTTCCCTGGGATAACACTGTGATTATGCCTCATAGACTCTGGTTGCAGGATTCTTTGATTTTGTGCTGTGAGTATTTGTGTTTTGCTTTATTTTCTCAGTGTTTCTGACAAAATTATTTTACTTATGGTCCTGCAGATCTGTAGTAGAGTGAGCATTAGGACTTTCTGTGCTTCCCAACAACTTGTTTGATTTTTAGCAGCTACTGTTATGGTGACTTCTTTCTCTCACATTTCTTCATTTTCTTTAGAAGATTTCTGACCTGCATAAACTGTGTCAGGAATTTAAACAAGCTTTCCTTAATATTGCATTAGTCATTGTTTAATTTGTATGAAGCAGAATACTTCTCCCAAAGTTAGAAAAATGCCTGATATATAGAATTTAAATAGTACAAAATGTAAATTATGTTATTGTTGTCTAGTGACACTTTAGATTCATGGCCATTTATTTTCTTCCATAATTAACACAAATAATATTGGGCTGATCTGTATAAAAACTTCAAGAATCTTATACAAAGGCAGGTCATAAGTTTTATAATTAAGTGAAGTAAAGGAATACACAGTCAAGAGGATTTTCTTAATCTACGAGGCTTCCCTAAACGTAAAAGCATATCAGGTTTATGTTGGACCTTATGGATGTATGATGGACAGATGTATCTTTATTTAGAGTAATAATAAAATTAAAACATAGCAATTGTTTTATTTCAGTCCAGAATAAGCTAACAAATTGTTGTTGTTATTTTGAATCAGTAGGACTTAAGCAAGTAATCATCTTTTCTTTTCAAAAAAGTTTTTTCATAATAGGGGTGTGAGAGGAAAATTTTAGTAGCCTTTAGTATGTTTGAATGTTGATTTTGATTGCATGTAATAAAAGCCAAAGCTTGCTAAACTGTGGCCTTTAGGGCAATAACAGGAAATGGGTAAACTTGCTGGACTAAGCAAAC